CGCTTTTAGGCTTGGCTAAATCTATATATTAAAGATTTTCACGAAAGTAGAACAAGAAAGCATCTCCACCTTGTTAAGTCAGCAATCAAAGAAATCTTCAAGTTGTAAAAAGCTTCACTTGTTATTTTAGACAAACAAGTCCTTTCTGATCAGGGTTGTCATTAAGTTTTGAGTCGCATGTAGCCTTATTCTCAACACTAGTAAAACACTTGTTACTTGGTGGGTGAATTCTATCAACAGGTAGTTTCACCTGTTGCATCAAGGGCCCAAGCATACTCAGCCAGAACAAGCATTATGGGTTATGGCCCTTGATGACAGCCCTAGTGATGGTGTTCAACAGGGCAAGTAAGTTTTTTAAATTTTCTCTTACAGAGCAGCCTGTTAAGTTAAGATAATTATTTTCACTTGAAAAATATACTCATCTTACCAGGTAAGAGTTTCTTCCAGGATTTTATGAGTGACTTGGCTTGGGTTTGCAGGTCTGAATTTTCACTTTTCTTTCTCAGAGTGTTGACAGACATACCTATTCTTGTTTTCTGCAGTACTTCCAGAGTAATGGGAAGATCTTTAAGCATTTTTAAAAGATCCACTGCACTGTCAGAATCCATCTGGAGAGATCAACACAATGGAGACAACAAAAATGTGAAACTTGTTCCTAGAGTATAGGTTCCTTATCAGTGCCATTCTTACTCATCTGCATAGGATGCCAGAAACATGAAAAAAAAAAATTATTTCAGTTTTGCGAATGTTTTGTGCCTCAACAGAACTCAAGACCAACTTTTAAGCATACTAACCCAGTGACAAATGACAACTTTTTTTCACTAACCAAGAAAATATTTTTACCGTACCAACCAGAATGGTCAAAAGTTCAACAAATGCTGATGCAAGATTAAAAAAGTTTGGTTTTTCAGAAACATAACTGAACACTCTGCCAATTTGGTATCATCAGCAAACGTCATTTACATGCTTGAAAATTGAAGAGATAATAGCAGTTTGATTGAGTAACACAAATCAGTGCTAATAAATGAAAACTCAAAAGAAAAAAAAAAGATCATACATGAAAAAAAAAAAAAAATGCTCAACATATGACTTCTCATTGTTCTTTCATTTACACAGTGATCAAGTTGTACTTTCTCCTAAGAAATAAACACATTCTCAGGAAAGAAGAATACAAAGTACAATGTACAAATAAACATCTGATCAATAAACCTGGTTGCCACAGGCCTCACTTTTCAAAAATTCACTGACTTTTTCCTGACTTTTCCGTGATAAAAATAAATACAAAATGTCAGATCTAGTGGTGGCTTCTGGCCTCAGCTTACAGATGTCCTTTTTTCCCATTCATGAAGACTTGTAAGTTTTCAAAAAATTTTCCTTCTTCATTGAGGAAAAATATCAATGAGATCACAGTGACCCCAAATGTTTCTTCCAGCCCTCAATGACGTTACATCAGCCATGTTAAATTATTTCAATTTTCCCTGACTTTTCTTCAAAATGTCAATTTAACTCGAAGTAAAATTCCCTGACTTTCCCCTGACCTTGAAGAATGTTTTTCCCCTAAGCATTTTCTCACCTGTGGCAACCCTGGAGTTAATTTCAAAAGAAATTCAGGGCAGTCAGTGAGCCAGGTAAGCTTAATAGCTAACATTAGCTTGGAAATAGACGCTTCATTTCGTTTTAGCGTTTTGCGTGCAAAGAAATCGAAGGTCAGTATATACTCAGCTGGAAGATCCATATGTTTACCTTCTGGAGAAAAGTTATTATATTTGTACAAACTCACACTGAAACATATATACTCTTGGAGTAAACTACCTCGGGAACTTTCTTGTAACAGTTTTGCGGGAAATACATAAGTTCAAGTGCATGTACGGAGCTAGTGAATGGGCCTTTTGTAATGTTTATTCCGTGGTGATACCGGCCGGCAAATTGAATGACACTCGACAACAAATGCTCGACTCACCGCTCCTTCTTGGCCGACTATCTTTTCCAGCTGCTTGCCAATCTTGAAAACTTCTTCCTCGAGATTCATTGTGCTTAAAATACCGAAAGATAACGCAAAAAACAAGGAAGCACAAACACCAATTCACATGGCACTAAAGCGATTCGCGCCACATCATGGCCGACTGGCAATGTCGCGAGTCCACGATATATTGGCAGCGGCATTTTACGCCTCAGTACCAATCTTCACGTGTGGTTGCGCGGTGGAGACACTTTGCTCGATCTCCCACGGTACGTACTAGGCTCGCTTTGACGCGAAGGACTAGCATCGATCCCATTCAGAGAGAGTACAAATACTTCTTGTCACTTCATGCTGCAGAAACTGAGGTAAGGTCCAGCTGTGGACCTTTTTTCACCAGTCTTCAAATATATCTGTTCACGGTATTGCCGGGGTTTTCTTTCAAGTTTTTGTTGATATATTTTTTTGAAATTATTGGAGCATCATCATTCCAAGATTTCGCAAAAGTTAACTGAGAAGTAACATAAGAGGTATTAGTCGCTTATTTTATTTCTCCCCAGGGAAAATGAGACAAGCGTAGCCTACGATCATACCCTTCCCTAGCCTGATTCTCAGACGTCCGAGGTCGTTCTCGGCCCCTTCGCTCACCGAAGGGGCCGCGAACGACCTCGGACGTCTGAGAATCAGGCTAACCTTCCCCATGCGCGGAGCCCGTGACGTGACGCCGTTACTCATTTCAGCCGCACATCGCGAGATTCTTAGCAAATCAGATCTAGCCTGGATGATTTCGCCTGCTTTTATTTTCTTTTCGTTTGCTTGCAGGCTAAACAGAACTCTGACAGCTTACAGCTTTGTTTTTTCTCTTGAAAGCATCTTCTTTGCACCGATAGATCAAGCCACAACACCACTCATGCACGACGCAGACAACTCACAGCCGTTGCGCCAAAGAGTCACTTGGTTGAGAGTAAAAGTTAGTTCTAAAAATAAATAAATACGGCGCTTTCTTAAAGCGGCTTTTTTCAAAATGTTGTTCCATCGCCGAGAAATGACCTGAACTATAGAGTGAAAACTTAAGATTAATCTGCCTACAACCGTTTATCATTCTTTTCTTTGTGAGAGAGCTCGCGAGTACGAACGATCCTCTTTACATTCACCGTCGCTCAATTTCCTGTGGTGTTTAGCCTCGCTGATTATTATTTTTAGCTCTAGTACGCTGAAGTATCAAGACCTTCTACGGAGGTCATTGTTTAACCGTAAGTTCTTACAGTATTGATGAGATAGCAGGTGTACTAAGCTGCAACCTGACATGAAATCCTTTTTCCTGTCTATATGCAGCTAGTACTGACATCTTCTGCCAGGTGTCACTTGACTCACCTCTCACTTCTCAGAGTCAAGAAAGACAAGAGCCTTTCGCCATTAGCAGGTTATTAATTTCCACACAATCAAGTTAAAAGGGGTCTTTTCCGTCTTTTCAGTCTCGTGTAAAAGTTTGTCCCTCCCTCTTTTTGTCACACTGTCGAACTTTGAGCAGTTGCCAAGGGAACGCGGCCAATTAACACATGCTGCTTCGCTCGCATTGGCTGCATATATTATGCTTGGAGAGCGGATTTGTTTGCATGATCCAAGGCAAAGAAGATGTAAGCAAACGCGTGGAAACCTTTGTCCTGACATGCTGTGTTTATAAGTTTGGTCGACCGCAATTTAAAAAGAAGAATGGACGAGGAGAAGACAGCCGGAGAATCGCCAGACGTCGGCGATGAGGCCCTCGAAGCTGATGAGGTTAAAAGTAGTGCTAATGTTGACAATACGATTGTTCCAATATCCCATGACCCTACTACGAAAGACCATACGCATTTGACAGAGAATAGAGACGGTGTAGATTGCGTTGAAGAAAACAACAACGATTCAGACGGCCAAGATGGCAGAAATGGAGGGAATGGGGATCAAACAGACGACGATGCGCAACTCGAACGACTTCAAATCCCGAAATCGACATCAGATGGCAAAGAGTATAGTGGAGAAAGTAACTCCGATAACACGAGTACTTCGAATGAGGGATCCCAACCTACGTCCCCGACAAAATCGGTCAGTCCGCGGAAAGCAAAGAAAAGGGCTATATTTGTATCGTATGCGCCAGAGGCGAGTTTTATTGAGAAGCGTTTCATCTCATACACCATCAAAGAGTTGAAAAACATCGGATTTTGCGACGATATTTGGTTCGATAAAGACGACGGATTACCCACAGAAAGTCCATTCTGTTTCCAGCAGAGATTGGAGATTGCTGAAAAGTGCCGCGCATCTATTATGTTTTTATCTGAGGCCTACTTCAACTCCAGAGTTTGTCACCACGAGGGAAGAATTTTACTCGATCGGGACGAAGAACGCGCTATTGATCATGACAACGACGACGAAGTTGAAAAGCCTGTAAAGTTGTTCTGTATAAAATATAACCGCGGCAAGCTCCCTCAAGACTACAAGCAGCTGGAGGAGCGAGTTCTCGACCTGAGTCATCATGTTGCTTCTAGCGTGGCTGAACTTTCCTCGTTGGTCGTGGGCTCTTTTAGCGAAACTTTGGAGCGATATGCCCCCCTTTTCGGGCTACGCATTCCGTCTCCTCCAAGTGAACCAGACATTTTAAAACTAGACAGACAAAAGCCAGTGTCTTCGTGGAATATAACCGATGTGCAGGCTTGGCTGGCTTCGCTGAAAATGCAAGCACACTGCGCGCTCAGCTTCGAGGAGAACGAAATCGACGGCTACTTGTTGGTTTCCATGAGTGAAACGGACATGGAAACCTATTTAAATGTTGACAGTCGAGTGGCGCGGCGGAAACTTGTACAGCAAGTCAGGAAAATTCAAGAAGATCAAGTACAATTCAAGGAAAACTGGTTTTTGAAGTGTAAAAAAGGCAAAGTCAAAGAAGATTCTGTCTACGTTATTTGTGATCCAAATGATGTCCGGTTTTATCATAACCTGCGAGCGGATTTAGTACAGAAGAACCTCCAGGTAAAAATATCAAATTTGAATTCTCAATTAGCGATTTAGCAGTCACGCTATTGTGTTATTTATTAACTAATTAACATGTCAATGGATTTGTGTTGGAATAATTTAGGGTACAAATATAGTTTCCACTACTCATTAGGGAGATTGTTTCATTGTTTTCTGTGAATTGAAAACAATTTGTCCGTACTTTCCAATATCGCTTAAACCCGTAGCAATATCACTCCCACGCGGAACAAAGGTGTGAATTTAAAATTAAGCCCATTTTTAAGACACAAACAGAGAAAAATAGACTGCTATACTAGTATTTTAATTAAAATTCTTCACTGTCTCAAGAACTTAAGCCTGTTTATCGAGACAATTTGACAGCCCTTCTCTATTGTGCGTTTGTTCGAAGACGCGCGTGATGTCACGCTCCATGCTCGTAAACTTAACTAGCGGACAGCCCTCGCACACAGTTCAAGGTTGGAAAGAGGGTCTGTGAAGCAGCAACTTTGATTATGTTCGAATTTTCGTAAGTAACGTGTGATTGAGCATTGCTGAAATGCCTGTATAAGAGGTTTATTAATATTTCTTGCTGGAGGATCAACGGTAAAAAGGAACCGAACAAAGAACACTGGAAAACGGAAGAGAGTAAAATCGTTCGAGCAAGGAGAAGCGTAAAATGTACCTAACAAGCAAACCTGTTATTGGATCATGCAATAGCCACGTTAGAACAAAATTTAGGAATTTATGTTTACATTTTAGCAATTTATAGGGTCGCGGAAATTGTAAAACTTGCCACTTTGTTAACGCCTCATGAAATTAACACAACGAAAAGTGACGCGATCTTTTAAAAACACGCGTTAATATCATGGAACGTTAATCTATGAAGAGGTATTTTAAAATTATAAAGAACCTCTCAGCTCTTCATTGGTAAGGCCAGTGAAATTTATGTGCAGAAAGTAATAAAAAATTAAGGAAAAACTGGAAAACTGTGGTTTAATTTCAAAAAAACAAAAACAAAAACAAAAACAAAAAAAACAAAAAACGAGAAATCCAGGTTTCTGCTGTGGCCGAGTTCACTGTGTTGCCGTATTTGGGCAAAACACTTTATCCTTACAGTGACCCTCTCCACTCCAGAGTGTTGGTTGCTGACAAATTGTCGAAGCAACAGAATACAAATACTGGGAGGAGGTTAAAATGTTATGGAGTTAGCTCCCAACCAGGCAGAGAAGCAATATCCTATGTAAAGTTCTGATTTCTTTGTTCTAAAAGAAACTTTTTGTCGCGAAAAGCGACTGTGCTACGCGAATGGGCATTTTAACGTCTAAAACTGTGAAATGCAAACTGGCTTTTTCGTATTTTTTCGCACAGGTGTTCAAGCACGAGCGACTCGGCCAATCTAGAGAAGAGTTCTTGCAGCTCAATTCTGCGCATCTGGCCGCGTGTAGTCACGTGATCATCCTCCTCTCCACCGCTGCGGCCACGTCACTTTTTGTCTACAATGAAGTTCTTTTCACTGATTGGTTAGGCAAACCTCTCGTGGTTGCCATGGCTGCAAACTCGTGGGATAAACTTCGACCCAACATGCAAACCATTCTAGGGAGCTGCCCCGCGGTGAATTTTGAGGGTAACTCCTATGAAGAGAGTATGGATATACTGTTGTACCACTTGAAACCTTTCCGGAACATGCCTGCCGTCATCCTGGAGCAGGAGTTCTTGGACAGGATGGTCGAAGGCCTGAAACCTTTAAGAGTTCTTGCAACGCTTTCTGGTAGGTGTTAAAATTTAACATAGAAAAATAACAACATTTTATATATTAGGCTCTCTTGCTCTCTCAGCGCTAACCTCAATCCCAGGCTCTCCTCAACGACAAGGGAGGCAAAGGAGAGAGCCTGGGATCAAGGTTGGAACTTCCCAGGACTTTACGTTATACCTGCCTCTTGCAATACAAGTCAGCCGTTGTGGTTTATCATGATTTTGTTCGACATCAATTTGGAAACGAAATTGTTGCAAATTTTCCAAAATATTAGCTTGACACACTTCATGTTACCTGGCAACGGGTACCTGGCAACGGGTACCTAGCAACCCAACTGAGCTGAAATTTTTGATTGTCACACAATGTCTTTTTTTACTTTAAGTTATATACTGTCTTGCTCGCTGGCTGGAAACGTATTTCCTGATGATGGCAATGTCTTTCCTTATAGATAAAAGCAGTGTAGATTTGGAGGAAATTTCTCCGCGACCAAACCTCTTCCTGAGTTATCACTGGGACGTACAGAACAAGGTGCAAGTGCTTGTTCAGTACTTGGAGAGTCACGGCTACCAGTGTTGGACAGACGTGAGTAACGCAAACAAGCGTCACGCAACAAGTCATTCTCCCAATCACGAGAACGCGCCTAATCAGATTCAGCGGAACATCAAAGCGGCTACAGCTGTTGTATGTTGCGTGACACCCAAGTACATTTGCTCTGAGAACTGCACAAAGGATCTTAGCCTTGCTGCCTCGATGAACAAACCGGTCATTCCCGTAATGCTTCAGTGGCTGGCATGGCCACCCGAGGGTGGTCGGGTACGTAGGATTTTGGCGCCGTTACAGTGTATTGACATGAGTAATGAGAGCCTGTTCAGAAGGAACTTGAGCACCGTCGAGAACCACTTGAAGAAATTCGCGGGAAAACAAAGTCCACGTGATGGGCACTTGGTAGAACACGTACGAATTGCCAAGAATCCCAGGCTTGTTCAACAAAAATCTCAACAGAAAGTATAAATCATCAGGTATCTCGGCAAACAGCGTGTGAATTTCTCGCCACTTTGGCCTTATCTTGAAACTAATTTGTGGCAGCAACATTTCCGGACTCCTTTAGCACAGAAGAAAAAAATCCTAACGAAGCTTCAAGCCTCTGGCGGCCATTCAGGAATCTTGTAACAAAACTAGTCAGAAATATACGGCATAGTGGCGAATCCATACTAGAAATGTGTGCGGCTTGTGTTATACGTGTTATATAAGTTGTCGTTATATTTTCCCTCGTACTCAGTTGCACGGGGCGTTCTGTATCCTCAGTCAAGGACCTTTGTGCTTCACTGAAAGGACCAAGGGAGGGTCATCTTCCTTTCTCCCATACCGATTCCCCCCTGTACACCCCTCCCCCGTCATTGGGTCGCCCCGTCATCAGTCCCCTCTTCTCCCACGCACCCATGGATTCGACACGGTAGATGTGTCTTCTCGATCTCACATCTTCCCAGTGTTTAGAGCTGTTTATATCCAAACTTTCATGGGCATTTCATTATTTCACTTGGTATGGCAAGGAAGAAGTTATCATGAACAGGAAAATTGCAACAGAGAGGCAAATACCGATCGAAAATAGTTAAAGCTAAAGAAAGTATTGAAATTATTGACGATTACTGAGAACTGAGGTAATTTTAATAAGAATCGGATGGAATGAGGAAAAATTATTTTACACAGCAATATGTTTCTTAATTTAATTCTGTAATATAGCGAAATATGTTTATAAATGAGGGAAATTGAAACTGGAAGTCTTATTTTAGTACCTCAGGTTTTCTTTTCGACTAGCGTCTCGCGTAGGCTGCAAATCATACTTCCTAAACCTATCTTATCGATCGACAAACTCAGAATTCATGTTCAGCGAACGGTGAATCTCGGCTCAGGAAAACCTTTATCGAAATAAACGTTTAGGTCGGGCACGATTGCTAGGCGTGCCTGATTTTTTTAACTACAAGAACTCAATATGTCTTTTATGGAGTAGCTTCCTCGTAGTTTGGAAATCGAAATCTTTTTCAACTCTCACCAAAAAGGAAGTATTCAGCATTTCCCGGGTCAGGATAAACTAAGCGGATGCTAAAAAACGGTTTGGAAGCTTCCCCTTGCAGGTTTTGTTGACACTGGCGCACGCATTGGTCAGTTTTAAAGTTGGTTCAGGACAAAAACAACAAAAGCTGGTCATGACAAGCTCTCAACCTTCATCCCTCAATTTTCCGAAAATTTATCCGCGGGTTTTCAAACATTCTAGCCTATATTGTCATCAATCCTCCCACTTGCCTTTCGGCTTAGAAGAGTACGCACTCTTAGTCAGGGTCTTAGGACTCGGCCGTGTTCAGGAACGGTGAAAAACTACGGGAATCCGTATTGTTGGAGTCCATTTTGAAGAGCCACACTTTTGAAATACAGGCTGTTAAATCGATACAAGTAAATTTTAAATCTGCGTGTGTTTTTTGTCAGTCAAAAGAGCCTGCAGCTCCCACTAGTCTTAACAGTATTCCTCGCGCGCGCGCACAGGATCAGAACGATTCCGTCACTAACACCAATTACAAATTGGGCCTACGACATAATTTCCGTAAATCGTCTACGACATAATTAGCTGATAAACTTTGTCGAAATTTTTTGCGACGACTGACACAAAATGGGCTAAAAAAAAAAAAGCTGTCAATTGGAGTCATCGCCGTTTTCTAACAGCAAAACGCAGCCTCTCATTGCCGCGAATCAAAGCAAGGTCTAAATTTTGTGCAACATGCTGGCAGGTGTAAGGTATCAAGTGGACAGCGGATGGGCCTGGGTTGTGTGTTTTGCTTCTTTCTTTGTTCAGTGTGTTGTATTC